ATTTTAAGTCAAATTTAACGGATCGTTCTTTAATAATAACCGACAAAGGAAACCGGTCAACCGGTCAAACTCACCATAAAATAGCATAACCTGGTGTTTGTTTTTAACTCCTCAAATATAACTGCAGTTCGAAGATAAAGATTCTTATACGGAATCTTGGTTATTATATACATGTACACCACATACCTCACATCCATAAATTATGTTAAACTTTGCTAAATCATGGCATGAAACAGTTATAACTTATCAACTTAATATAATAAACAGCTTCAAAAACAAAACAAAATATATAAAATATTTGGACCTGCCATAATTCAAGACAATCATATTTGTATGGCAGACTTGGAAAATAAAGTTTAAATAAAATTGGTTTAAATAAATATTTATTTCGTCTACATTGTTTTTAAATACAAAAAATTAACAATCAAGACTGAGTAGTTTAAAATTTATATCAAAGTCTCTGCCACATTCGTATTCAAAACAAAACACATGACATTGCCTGTCGCTTGTTCTATTTTAAATTTATATAACCTAATAAATGTTAAATATTTGGTGATTTGCTATAATTTTTTATCAATTCATGCTAAAAGTTAATAACAAGATTTATTATATGATCTAAATATAGCTGCAATCTCATTGGTCCAAACATTAGTCAACAGAACTTTTTATAAAATCATATTTACTGGGTGTAGTATCATATTCACTGGCTGAATTGGATTTTCCCAGTCTAAAAATAGATTGAGACTCATATTCAATGATCATACACCGTAGACTGTTAAATACGCGTGTTACTTAAAAATAATTGTTGCTTTTTGTTTCTTTATGGCATATTTCTCGATTAAAATATCAATACATTACCATTTTACTTAAAGGCTACACCGCAATGATGAGTATAAACTTGAATTACTTTTGAATGCGCAGCGTTCGCGAAGTTCGTTGCACGCCTAACACGTGTGCGTCTTTTTTCCCGCGCTTCAACGAGGCAAAAAATTTGTACACGTATATGAGGTTTGTACTTTTGTGATTTTTTTTTATTTCTTAGCCTATTCATATAAATAAAACAAATTATTGACTAGTGAGCCATTGAAATATGATGTGATATTCACCGGCAGAAAGTCATATTGACCTCGGCTATCGCCTCGGTCAATATGTCATCTGCCGGGTGAAATATTCACATCATAATTTCAATAGCTCACTAGTCAATAATTGTATAATTTAAAGGAAAAATTAAAAAAAATGCTTATTGGATTCTGCTCACCCGTTAAACACAAAAATGAAACCCATTAAACCTATTACCCCTACAACCATATAAACTTAAATTAATTACTGAACAAGTAATATAAACCGCCTTCGCATCTTATAAAGGAAAATTGTAGAAAGACTTTGAGCATTGTAATGAAAATGCCAGGGGGTTAATCCATTTTAAACCGGGGGTTTACCATGAAAAATTCTTTTAATTTGCAAACATATTTAACACAAAAAAGCTGAGGGGAAAAACTTATGACAACATATCGTCCATTTAAAAGTCCACAAAATTCATTAAAACTGTTCAGTCTGTGTTCTCAATATTTGTTACTTTTGGGGGCGGCCCAAAATTTTTCGATATGGGAAAAATTATGCAAATGAGTTTTTTCGATTTTTTAAACAAAAAATAGTACAGAACGATATACAACAAGCAAATTCGTTGAATTTATATCCCCCGCCGAGTACTGGTTATTATTAACACAACAACTGAAGACATAAGGCTTTATTTATATATTAATCATGGCATAAACTGTAAAATTCTTTGAACTTGAAGCCTTGTACCTTCAAACAAGAAGAGATTTTTAAGTTTTCACTATATACATATAAGGAAAATCTATGACCCCCTGGAGTGGGGCCAATTTTGACCCAGGGCTAAAATTTGAACAATTTTGGCAGAGGACCTATATGTTATATCATATACCAAATATCAAAGCTCTAGGCCTTGTACTGTCAGACAAGATTTTTTTAATTTTGCATTTTTGAAACTCCTTTTCTGGCCCCGTGTGACTGATGATTGTGATTGAAAATTACAAAATTTTACTAAGTCAAGGGCAATAACTCTAAAAATACTAAAAAATATCCAGACGAAAATACCCAGGTGCACAACTACACATACTGATCAACATTCCTGTAAAGTTTCATGACTCTAGGTAAAATACTTTTTGAGTTACATGCGACAAAGTTGAAAATTACAAAATTTTACTAAGTCAAGGGCAATAACTCTAAAAATACTAAAAATATCCAGACGAAAATACCCAGATGCACAACTGCACATGCTGATCAACATTCCCATAAAGTTTCGTTGAATTCTAGCCATTAGTTGCAGAGAACTACTCTGGAAACGAAATTCGGACAAAATTTTACTAAGTCAAGGGTAATAACTCTAAAAATACTAAAAATATCCAGACGAAAATACCCAGGTGCACAACTACACATACTGATCAACATTCCTGTAAAGTTTCATGACTCTAGGTCAAATACTTTTTGAGTTACATGCGACACAAGTTGAAAATTACAAAATTTTACTAAGTCAAGGGCAATAACTCTAAAAATACTAAAAAATATCCAGATGAAAATACCCAGGTGCACAACTACACATACTGATCAACATTCCCGTAAAGTTTCATGACTCTAGGTCAAATACTTTTTTGAGTTACATGCGACACAACTTGAAAATTACAAAATTTTACTAAGTCAAGGCAATAACTCTAAAAATACTAAAAATATCCAGACGAAAATACCCAGGTGCACAACTTCACATGCTGATCAACATTCCCATAAAGTTTCGTTGAATTCCAGCCATTAGTTGCAGAGAACTACTCCGGAAACGAAATTCTTAAGTCAAGGGCAATAACTCTAAAAATACTAAAAAATATCCAGACGAAAATACCCAGGTGCACAACTTCACATGCTGATCAACATTCCCATAAAGTTTCGTTGAATTCCAGCCATTAGTTGCAGAGAACTACTCCGGAAACGAAATTCGGACGGACGGATGGACGGACGGACGGACGGATGGACGGACGGACGGACGGACGGACAGACGGACGGACGGAAGGACGGACGGACAACGCCAAAACTATATCCCCCTCCCGATTCCATCGGCGGGGGATAATTAACCAGTTCAGGGACTTGTAAATTTGTATTTTAAAAACATTTTTCAATGGTCTTGGATAGAACACACGTTCATCAAATGTGTTACTCTAAGATTTAAGTGTGGCATGTATAATACTGGAAAGAGAACATAAACTTATAATAAAATGTGCTACATTTATTTCATTCAACAATTATATTATAAACCTAATTATATGTACAGTATGTTAACAAAATATCGTTGAGTCTCTTTATTGAATGAAACAAAATGGCCCATTTTTGTGTAGTTTATTTAGGGAAAATTTATTTTGTTTCAATAATAAAAAAGAATTTTTTAATTTATATTTTTTGAGTATTTTTTATTAAAAATTTTTAATCAAAAAAGAAAAAAACATGGACAAGTTACAAAATTTCCCTGGTTTGGATAAGGTTTACATCAAAATTTGCCAAATTTTTATAAAAAAAAGTCAAAATTACTTTGGTTAATTTCATTTGGGAGGGTGGTTTTAAAAGCTGTCTTTATCTAATGAGTTTTTCCCAAATTTCCCCCGATGGGTTTCATGCATCTATCAAAATTTTTTTTCAGAAAAAGTCACATGTCATCAGTGTTTTGGGAGTCAATGGTAAAAACAATCTTTTCCAAAATTTTAAATTTTGGGACAAAAATTTACAAATTTGGGAAAAAAAAGGTAATAAAACAGTATAATATGTCAACAAACAAACAATAGAAATATAAAAGTCAAAAAAGAAATGCTGTACAGAGAAATATATTATGTATAGGCTTTGTATAAAAGCATCAACACATCTCAATAAAATGTGAAAGGATTGAAAAGTATGTTTTGTCGGTAATGAAAATCACTCAAAATTGTCTATGTAATGCGTATAATCAACATATACTGATATAAATATACTGAAAGGTAATTTTCAACTTAAAAGCAACGTTTCCGGAACGTCACCACTAAGGTCCCACATTTCTTCAGCTACACAGGCAAAATATATAAAAAGTAATCACTAGAGAACGTTCAAAACGGCGAAAATGAAAATGTTGCAGGCTCGGTTTCACCAAGCCTGTTTTGGACGGTATTAGAAAGTAACTTTAAGCACTGGTTCATTTAAAATTATTAATTTATCAACATCTGCAATGTGTTAATGCGACACAGCGCCATTCCATGGACAGTGGTGTATGGTCCCCAAATAAAAAGAACACCACATACGCTGTTAAAGCTCGACGGTAGAGGAGAACGATCAATTTTAATAAATATTTTTCAAAAAGTTTCAATAGTTTCAAATAGGGAATAATTCCTAAAAGTTTAGGTTTTGGGATAATGACCCTCGTCTAACATCTGTGCCTTGTCATGATTATCAAGACTTTACAAGTTTTGATAGTTTTTAAAAAATAGCAATTTTAGTTACAAATGACTCTTCTAATTCGCTTTATAACTATCATGTAAATTTATCATTTAAATGCTAGGTCGCTGTTAAAAAATGTGTCCACTGCTACAGACAGACAGGCTCCAAATATACTCCCTGCACTTCTTGGTTTCTTCTGGTCAAGCATTGGTAATGAAGCTTCAGATGGTCGAATAACAGCTGATGATGAGGAAGCCTGCGCCAATGGAGGTTTAACTTTAACGGAACCTGAAATTTTAATGTGTTCGTTCATATCGACATTTACTGTCACATGTATATCCGAGTATTATTTGAGTCAACATTAACAGTTTTATTATGTACAATTATTAATATAGGGCTTTTTTTTATAAGAAAGTCTGTATAACAATCTGACTTTTCCATAATGTATTAAATATAAAAAATAAATGTAACGTAAAGTAAAAGTAAAAAAAATGCCTAAAAGTTGTAAGATTCTTTCATAATCTTACCGGTAGTTGAGCTGTTATCTTGGGGTTTTATCTTTTATCATCGGTTTGGATTTCTGGCCGATTTTCTATGTTGAGGCATATAGTCCTTGATATGGATTCAGATGGTGTTGTATGACCGGAGTCAGGAGAATTCTTTGTTGAAATCTGGTTCAAACGACGTTGATCGGGTAATCTAGGGGTATCTTCATTAGCGAAAGGTATTTTCAAATCTGTCTCGTCTTGAGCAGGTGTAACATCAAGGAATGACCCACTGTCTTTTTTCACTTCAGAAATGTTTAGACTTTCATCTCCACCAATAGTTTCCGGCCTATGATACTCGGTTTCAACTGGTGAAGTACCAATACTTAAATCTGGCCGATTTTCAATGTTGGGGCATATCGGCCTTGAGATGGATTCAAATGGTGTTGTATAACCGGAGTCAGGAGAATTCTTTGTTGAAATCAGGTTCAAACGACGTTGATCGGGTAATCTAGGGGTATCTTCATTAGCGAAAGGTATTTTCAAATCCGTCTCGTCTTGAGTAGGTGTAACATAAAGGAATGACGCACTGTCTTTTTTCACTTCGATATTCACAGAAATGTTTAGACTTTCATCTCCACCAATAGTTTCCGGCCTCTGATTCTCGGTTTCAGCTGGTGAAGTATCAATACTTAAATCAACATCTTCTATCATCTCGAATCTGTTCATATGTGGTGGTCCATCTACGGTATCTAAATTCAATGATTGTAATTGCTGTGCGACGTCGTCTTGTTGATTAATCGCTTCTTGACTCTCATGTAGTAATGGCATGTCGCTGTGTCTGTTGTCAGGAATGCTTACAGACGTTGTGACACCATCGACAGATAGATAAGCAGATTCCTCTGTAGGATAATGTAAAATTTCTCCTGAACCTACTTCATCTGAAATCGATCTTTGCTCTATAAATAAATAAAAAAAACTTCTGGAAATAAACAAAAGCATACGTCTTGTAAAGGGACATGTTATTATTAACTAAGCTGTAATGTTAATTGGTTTTAAAAAATATCTTCCGGAATACTAGGGCATACCTTAACACACTCACTAGGAATCAGTACAAGAATTTAAAGAAATCGAGAATGTGAAAGATAGCTTACAAATTACATCTCAAACTTCTCACACACAATGCAAAATGATCTAAAAGTCGCAGGTCATTGAGAATAAAATACAAAAGTGTGCAGTGCAAAAAGGAAAACAACAATACCTGTAGGAAAGAACGGAATGTTTGACATATTTGTAGCTGAAGATGGTACTGTAACCAGCAGTTGTTGTCCCTCTGTTCGAAGCCGATTGTCACCTCGTTCTAAAGTAAAATATTCTACATGAGTTGATGCAGCGTTAATGTAAGTCATGATACAATTTGTGATTCCTGATTAGTTTGCATCTCTTCTAAAATATCGGATTTTATGAGGCACTTTAATTGATGAGGACAAATAAAAACAATAATCCATAGAGTAACGAGTAGGCATAATTTCTATACTTAAACGTGTACTACTGAAATATTATTTACCTCTACTGAAATATCTCTCAACATATATTCGAATCCAACATACCTTTAGCTACATGTGATACTTTTTCTTCAAGTGTCTGAAAATAAAGAATTTATATTCTGGTATTGAAGAAATTTTGTTTTTCACCAAGGATGTTAATTACTTTTATTGTTGACATCTACAACTGCACATTTCCATTGACCATAACTGGGAGGCACTTTGTGAGGAAAACTGTGTTAAAATGTTAAATAGTTTTTGTGCGGCTTTAAAAAGATTAAATCAACATCTCAGAAATAACAAACTGATTTGTGCACATATACTCCTGTTGACATCCCAGAAATCAACAAAACAAATGCACATTGTCTATGTAATAGTTATAGTACATGAAACGAGTTAGTTAAGAGGATATAACACTGGCTGGGGCGACATCAAGGATGTCTCTGCTAAAAAATGGCGAGGCCGTTAGGCCGAGACAATTTTTTTGCAGAAACATCCCGAGATGTTGCCCAGCCGGTGTTATATCCTCGTAACTAACGTACGAGTTTCATATACTATAACTGTTTTATCGCAGTGGCATAATGTTTTCTTTTTTTGTTATAGAAATAAATAAAAAAATAAATAAATAATAAATAAATCGTCAGCTACATTACAGTTATTTATGATAAGACAGTTTTTCAAGTTGTTTTTGTTGCCGCAAAAAAAAAGATATACGAAAGGCATCCAATGTTAGAGGCGGATTGTAACTGTTACCAAAATTGATTCAAGATTAAAGGGTTTTTTTTCAGTGGAAATAATTCATTTAACGGATGTACCTTTTGATTAAATGAGAGTAAATTTCATTTCATTTATTATCTTTGTTTGTATTTTACATTGTATTTAGTTTTTTGTTTTATTGATTCCATTTTTTTTTTTTTTTTGCTACTGGAAATGTTCTTTACCACTGACCCATTAGAGCCGCTGTGAAAATCAAAGCACTGAATGTACTGATGGGGAGGCTATGACAGAATGTTTCATACTTATAGTTTCTTTTCTTTTTGCTTAAAATGTGCTGTTATTTCAATTATTACCAAAATAAGAAGATATGCACATTGTGTCATTTATCCTTACTGTTGTGTTCAACCATTCATATATATGGTTAATATGGTTGACTATTCATTTTGTTAATATTCCAGAACATTTCATTGAGGTCTACATTCGGACTGCTAATCCTGCAAATTTTGAAAAACCTAAACTGTCAATAATCAATGACATACCAGAAAGTATGACGACTGTTCATTATAAGATAACAATAACATTTTACAACTGACTGTTCCTTATCAAAATATTCTAGGACTGCTTATCATAAATACTTTATGTCATTTTAATATCATTGAATGATAATAACAACTGCAAGTTATGCAACATTTTTATTGAATATAAAAATTATACATATTTACATGTCATGTACCATAATTGAGATCAATAAGATACTGTCTTGTGATGAGTATTAATATCCATGCTCTACGGACAGAAAGATGTCTTCTTCCGAAGCAGATCTGGAGTAAAATCACGTTTCAGAAAATTATTCCCATTTCATTACTCGTCGCTGACTTTGACGGCTTCGGATATTTATAAAAACTAAATATTTCTTGAAAAAATACATATCTGCAAAGCTTATTCAAAATTGAATCAACCTAAGTGAAAATTGATCAGGAAGTTATATCTTCTTTTTTTTACCGCCAACACTCAACCAACTTATGGTAGTTAATAGATAGATTCTACATGTATCTTTTAAACCTCACTAGCTTGAAATATAACTGCGGAAAATCTATTGTTAACAGGGTGTGCGGTTATTACGTAGGGTTTTCCCTGTCGACCATTTCCCGCAAATAGATGAGAACATCGAAGCGTCAGTGCTATGAATGGTGTTATAATTTATAAATAGCGTGTTTTGGAAGTTTTTTGTTGAAACTTCTCCAAAATCCCTCCAGAGGCGTGCACGTCGCGGAGAAGGCACACAGCAGGTCAAGGTCAAGTCATCTCAAGTACCAGAGGTGATTGGTTGACCTGTCGTGACTTACTCTGGAGGTTTGGCGCTAATGAATGCCGTTTTTGTTATCGTCAGTCAGGAAGTTGATGCCTTGCCGGTATTGTCGTCTCCTTTACCACCAACGAACGAAGAATGGACTACCAGGAAGATTCGGCTTGAAAAAGACGTCCCCGATGCTATAATCTCGGACATATGGTTATTCCGGCCCCGAGTATAAATAAACTTAAACACACACACTTTTGTTGAAAACAAAACAAAAAACAACAACACATTTTCTGTAGTATTTTTTCAAGTGTTGTAAAATGAATACGAAATTCCTCTTATGCCGCCGATTATTTTTAGAACACAAACATATAAGTTTTTTTATTTGATTTATTCAAATAAACATTAATCACTTCAGCGCCCGCAAATATCGTTTTCAAATTAAAGTTTCGTAAGATATGTTGATGAATTCCCGATGCTAAACTGTAAGTCATTCGTATATATATGCGTTTTTTTTGTTGTTTTTTGTTGTTGTTTTTTAAGCCTCTTATTCTTTGATATTTTTTATTTATCTCATAATCTGTATTGAAAATTTGAATTTTATTATTTATTGATATCTGTGATTAAATTGTATAATTTTTATGTATATGTCTATTCCCTGAATAAATCGATACGATTACACATGGACTATCAAATTATGATGCGTTACCCTAGAATTAAATAAACTTTCTAATTACAAAATACGGGATCATTCATTTGATTGAAGACTGATCTTTGCGTCTTTCTCTGAAATAATTATTTCCTTGTTAAAATATATTTGACCACATATTTCTGTCATTTAACTGTTCACTTTACAGCTATATGATATAGCGGTTTATGAGCGTTTTCCGCGTACAGCCTCCTAGGGTGTACTAATAAGTTAGTTTTCCTTAGTTATCACGCAAGCACGATCCATGTCTCTGATGTAAGCGACAATTTACTGTGCCGCTATGATAATGTGAGAGTGACGTTGCAATTTTTGTGTACACAAAAGTTTACAATCTTTGTCTGAATAGGTAAAACAGGGTATTTAGAAGTGAATATGATTTAAAATCAGAAATACAATTTGAAAAGTCTCGATGGCAAAGTTGGTTAAGTCACTAGGATGCCATACAAGTTAAATTGTATCATGAGTTCGAGCCACACAAGTTGTCAAACCTTTTTTTCCTTTTTCTTTCCCATTTTCATTTTTACATGAGATGCAAATTAATTGGAATATAAAGGCAGTTTTGTTATAATTTCGAATAATTTATATATACCGGAAATAATAATTTTTATTCTGTGTAGTGTGTAATATATATTAGTAGTACTTTTGCAGCGCATAAGTTTTTCATGCCAACTTAACTATAGTTGAAACAATTTATGTACATGTATGCATTCCGTATCAGGTTGCACCAACTTGCTAGGTATAGCAACATTTAAAAACAAAAGTGAAATGAGAAGTTAATAGAAAATAACACAGCGCTAATAATCTTTACAAGAAAAAAAGAAAATCTTAATCGATTGATAATTATACAAAAAAATTTGGGACCGAACCTGGCTGTCTTGCATTGATATGTAACTAAAAATTTACCACACAACTTAACCTACTGCGTTACGCCGCCAGTTAGTATATTTGTCGATATTTTAATGTATATGGCAAGCCTGCTTGACTTAAGATATTGAACACAATATGATAACTGTTTTACACCGTTAAAGTGGACTTGACCACCGCGTCACTAAATAATTATCCGAAACGCACAGTACCATTATTTGTCTTTAAAAAATATTAAGGACTATTAATGGTTTATATCAACAAAAGAACATGCATGATATTGAGACTACGGTGTTGCAACGTTCTAGTTAATGACCCGTCATAAACAGTTGGTCGCTGCGTAGTAATTGGAAAATTGTTATAAAAAATAATAAAGAATATTTGCCACCTAATTAAAGCATTTACTTATAATTTTCATTTATGCTTTTTGTTAAAAAATTATTGATAAAGTTATTATGTAGAAGGGTTTTCATACTAGAACTATTTATTACAGACGTACGTATGCCTAAACCTGATTACCGCGGCAGTATGACGTCACGGAGTAGTGATTTTGAAAAAATAACAAACAAAAATCAAGAATTTTTCAGAGAATTATTATCTGATATGAAATTGAAGAATGAAAATATTTTCATATTGTAAATGTCTGTGATGAGTGATGAGTCAGCTTAGAAAAAATCAAGGTACTATTTTTTGACCTGATTACCGCGGCAGTAAGATTTGACAGACAGTTATTAACATTGGGTCGGCATTGCCTCCCCAAAAACTGCAATGGTATATACAAGGTGCGAATAAAAACTCAACCGTTATATAGCGGTCGAGTTTTTTTTTTCCTATATGAATCAATAAAAAAACTGTACTGCTATTTTCAAATGATCATTTAAGTGTACTAAGTATAATGGGTTAGTAAGAACAAAGGAAAAGTTTGTACACAAACACATCGACTTTTTAAAATCAACTTTCTTCACTAGCTTGGTTTATTTATACAGTCAGGATGTTTGAGAGAAATGGGATCCCTTTAAAGATCAATATTTTATAAATACTTTATGTAATTAACTCACAATATTCTATAAATACTTTATGTAATTAAATCACAATATTCTATAAATACTTTATGTTATTAAATCATTTTAAGCTGAATATAGTTAGTTCTGGCTTCCATAACTTTATATGTCGCTTTTATTTTGACAGGTTTGGCAATACTATAAAATCTGTTCGCTGAAGTCTCTTTAGCTAATATATACATGTAGTGTGCCACCTCTACTGTGGAAGTAGGATAGATATGTTTCTAAATTGCGTATAAAGTGACGATCATTTGTAATTTATGTAGATTTATAACTCTCTAATGGTTTGCAATATATAATCTAAATAGTAACAAACAAGTTTTCATGATTTGGTCATACCTTTTTCAGTTTTTGCCAGCGCATTTCGTTTATATCATTTCCCCATTCCCCTTCATTCGATCCTTTTATATGAATTGGGTCATTAACATTCAACTCCTTCAGTGATCCTATATCATCGATATTAAGAGTAATCGGGATCATCTTGTGTTGGTGTTCCTCTTGTAACAAATACTTAAACGCAGCTTGTTTGCAATATTTAGCCCAGTAATTTCTCCTAAACTCTGGGGTTATAATTACTATGCATTTCTCTGTCTCTGACACTATCCTAAACAGTTCATCAAACACGTTTCTACCCGCTAAACAATCCCTTTCTGCAAGATAACATTTTAAACCCCACCCACTTATTTTCCTGTCTAAATACTGAACGAATTTTGTAGCGAGCCGATTATCTTCAGTTTCATTAATTTCAATATTATTATATATAAAATTACAATGATATAATTCCTCCGACATATTAAAAGTCAATATTACAACAATGAAAATTTGATATTTGCACTGTTTATGAATTTTATACTACTTTCGTTTTCGCATGTTCGCATTCGATTGAATTCCGCAGTGTAAACGAATAACCAATCATTTTCGACGTTATATATAACTGAAATCAAAGCGCGAAAATTAAAATAATGCACTACGTCTTTTCGATTTACAACATTTACACGTTCACGTTGCTCATATAACATTATATGATTATGCTAGATCGAAACTTAAAGTAGAGAATAATATATAATGGTCTTTATCGAATACTAACGTGAATATTTAGAGGTTAATACTCGCCATTATGCGATAATGGCCCGAAGATGTGCACAATGGCCTGAGGGCATCGCCGCTAATCTTGGTTGACGCCCTTACTAAGAAACGAACAGTTGTCAATGTAAACAAATACCTGTCATGTACAGTTTAACCCTCCGATTAACTTGGAAAACATGACAACACAAAATAAAATAAATATAAGTAAATGTTATTTATTGTTGATTTTTATCGATAAATACAGTATCCTTCTCTTCACATTTTTTGTGTGAGAATTACATTTAGATCAAGTGCCAGTTATTTATGAAGTTTTGTGCCGTCAATCTTTCAAAACGGTTTCTGAGACTAATGGTTACCCTAGGTCTGAATGCCACCGATCCGATCTCTTTCCTACCGTCAATCTGAAATCAATTTTAGAATTTTTGAGGGTGATGTTTTGTCTTGCGTTTATAAATCTTTAATGTTAAGCTTTGCTGATTGTGATTAATAATGTCATTTAACCTTTAATATATTTTGTGTGCAAGTGACTACAGTTCATTCGACGTCAGCAGACATCTTGAAAGTCACTGAGAGTTGATTACGTCATTCTGCGCGTGCGCTCATTCACTCGCCCATTATGGAAAAATAATACCGAGTAGCAAGGCGGCCAAAATTGCAGACAGACAGACAGACATATACTTTTATTTACAATCAGGTTCTACAGTACATATACATGAGAACAACATGATTTAATCACTTAGGCAAAAATAGAATATATATACACATGGCAGTTTGCATGCAGATTATGGTATGAATATAAATTGTGGAAAGGGTATTTACTAAAATTAAATTATTATTATTATTTTATCAACAAAGGGGACAGTTTAAAATTATATACTTATATTTGATGGTCATCAAATCTTAAATTGTACAATAACTTAAGCGTTTATACAGCAATTTACGTAGTACACATTCACAAGTGTGGCACTACAGGTCAGTAGGTGTGTGGGTGTTTACAGTTCAGTAATTGGAGATCTCGTGCGACTTGTGGATGTGTACACGTGTGTTTATATAAATATGGAATACAGTTTATAAATAAAGAAATGAATGGATTAACACATGAGTTGAAAAAGTAACAACAAAAAGATTCAATCGATTGACTCACTGGGTAAGTTATTTCTTAACATTGTTTATTTATTTATTTATTTATTTAATTTGGAAACCGTTGCTTTATGTTTGTTCAATAATTGCTCCCGGTTACATTACGGGTGACAACTGAAGTACTGTAAAATATAGTAAACAAAAACAAACAGAATATAAGCATTACATGTAACCTCTGAAGTATAGGAAAATAAAGTAAACAAAAATCAACAAAATGTAAGCATCTGACAGGTTAAAGAAGGAAATAGTCTTCATAAAAAGTAAATAAACAAATTTGGCATATTGAAAGAAAGCTATTGTATTTTTTTGTATCTAGGCTATATCTCATATAAAATGAACAGAAATCATTTATTGAAAAATGACATTATACGTTTAGAGAAAATGGCAACATTTTTTAGTAAAGAGAATGAAGTTGATTGCATCAGTTCTTTGAACTTGAGTGTGTTCGGTCTATTGTAATATTTACTTGGAATTAGGCTTCTTCTACTAAGACAAAAGAAAGGGCATTTTAATATATAGTGAAATTCATCAGCAATATCATTTTGATTACATAAAGTGCATTTCCTTTGATCATGTTCTACAAAAGACTGGCGCCATCTACCAGTTTCGACTGGTAACCAGTGGTTGCCAGTTCTAAAATGAAAAAGATTAATACGTTGGTTATATGGTAAAAGTTTTAGGTAAGGTTCGAAAATTGGTGCATCTTTAAATATCATATAGTTTCTTCCTTTAGATGAATTCCTTAGTAAACCGGACCATGTTTGATAAAACTGATCTATTAGGCATCTGTTAATTTTCTTGTGAATATTACGATTTTCTATTAGATTTTGATTTAACCAAAAATAGGTATTACCAGTATTATCTAGTATATTCTGTACATGACGAATCCATTTAAAATTTAACGCAGATCTATACATATAGTTATAACATAGTCTAGATATCTTATTTTCATGTGAAGTACAAAGTTTAGACCAAAAGCTGATTATTCTGGTTTTGATTATTATCTCTAGGGGATAACGACCTAGTTCACCATATAACATATATAAAGGTGTACTTTTTCTGCAATGAGTTATTTTTCGGAGAAAATCGGTATGTATTTTTTCTAGAATGTCGAGGTTTTCAAAACCCCAAACTTCACAATTGAATGTAAGAATAGGTAAAATAGTTTGATCGAAAAGCTTAAGTTGAAGGTCAATAGGTAAGTCTAGATTGAATATTCTACTATATAAAAGATGCATAGCTTTATTTGCTTGAGAGGCAAGCGATTTTCTAGCACTAAGAAAACTACCCGAGGACGAAAATACCACTCCCAAATATTTATACTCTTTTACAATTTCAAGGGGTTTGCCATCAAGAGTGAAGTGAAAATTTTCGGGTTTGTTCGTGCCAAAAACCATGACCTTTGCATAATGACCTAGATCTTGCCATAATGGCCCTGAAATACCCTAGATTATGTTACTATACGAGGGGTTATCCAAAAATTCGTGGACTTTTTAAATATCTCTTGAACGTCAACGTATATTGTAATGAAAATTTATCAGCATACATTGTAGAATATTATCAACACATTTTGAAAGGAACAGTTAATTGTGTCAAAAAATAATGATTTTATATCACTTTTAAATAAGCACAAACACGGCACCCGGCGCACGGTAGAAAAGTGCAGTAAGTCTTGGTATATTTCTTGCAAAAAAAAAAATAACGCAGAAAACCCGCTGAACATCGAATGTTTTTTCTATGATGTCATTTAAGTAATTCTTTAAAATAATGGACGTCTTTTCCGTTTATTTTTGTTGATATCGCTAGAAACGCCAGACGCCTTTATTGTTTACAACGGGAAAATGACGGATACGCGGTAATTAGAAAATCGCACGATCATAAATTTTTGTTGTAATTTGGAAATGACACCTTCAAAAACATTTGATAAAAATCAGCAGACGAACAGAGAAAAGAAAATTTCACGTTCATTAGTATTTAAGTGGCATAAAAAAATTTTAGTGATGGACATTACTTTGAGAAGCAGTAACTGTCATTGACTGTACTATTGAAGCACTAGTTGTACGTTAATATTATGACGATGACGTCAATAACTTTTTGGAGTGCGCCGCTGTCGCCGACATGTGTTTATGTAAAATTAAATATTGTTGTAATGTAAGAAGCTACTCACATGTTTTTTTCCGTGTTTATTTGTTATTAATTCTTATAAGCAGTGTGAGAATTTCAAATCAATATCTCAAATATATTTTACGCAACAAAGAAAGTCCACGAATTTTTGGATAACCCCTCGTATATAGTAACATAGGTATTAATACAATTTATCTTCTATCACAAGTAAAGCTTCGTATCTGTAGTGATACAAGTAATTCACCGTGTATATCCAGTAACGCAAGAATGTAAAAATAACACACGATTCGTGCAAAAAGTAACGCAGAATTGTGCAATAAATGGCGGATACCTGACAGGATTTCCAACGCAGTAAGCAAACTATCAATATATTCTTTATTTAACCAAACTGAAAAAAGAACAGAATAAAACAGAACAACAATTTTATTCATGACTTGTACAATAAGTACATCATCACATATACAAATATATACAATATGCATAATTGTCACAGTGAAATAACATATTTACATTACAAATCAATTATCATATGAGGATGAACTACAATTAATTTTAAAAACATGTAGTTCTAAGAGATAATGCATTTTTAATATACATAAGTTATTTGGGACAACAACAAAACAATATCATACTTTAACTAATTTTATTTTACAGTCATACATAGTGGTATATGTAATTTATCTCACTGAGTAATGTCTTTGTTAATCTTTGGCATTTTATGGGCACGACTCCATTAATAAGAGCCAAAAGGTTTGGATACCGGGCATACAAAACCCTGTTAGGACATCCATAGCAAAGCAAACAAATGACACAAAATCAAAACAAGCAAATGGAACAAACTGTATAGCTTTTTGGAACAGTATGTTCTAGAAAATCATTGATCAAAGCTGTTCAAGCAATACTAGTCTTTCAATTCTTCATTCACAAAATAGTCAATTTTCACAAATGTATATGAGCAACAACACAGCATTGACACTGTTGCGCAAAATTGGTTCTGGGAAGCGGAAAACAGTATCGCCAGTATCACAAATTGTCTATTCGCCGGCCGCAAAATGCAAATTTAGCAGACACAACAAGTGAAATCTAGTATTTGAAAGTTCATAGAACACATCTCTGGAGTCGCACCGTTGTCGAATTCTCTCTGCTTGTGGTTTTGGCCCAAGCAGTTTTCCTAAAGATACCTCTTCCGTGGTATTCAGTAGGGCTAGCTGTCTTGAAACACGTCGCTTATGTTGGCTAATCTGAAAACATATCAAAAGAGGACAGAAACAACGAAACAAGCATGACGCTAGTATTAAGCTCAAATCTTTGACACTTCACACTCATAATTGACCGAGGAGGGCGGGTGGGTTTTTTTCAAAAATTTATTTCTTCCATTGTTACAACATTCGACGCCAGCGTTAAAAGGATATGACGTAGATACAGTACCTACGTCATAACCAGGGCAGGGTATAAGTTGTTCCCCAAATAACAGAGACTATTCTATAGAAATAG